TTTGTTTGTCTACCACATGTCTCGTTAGAAAAAAACAAAAGTCAAATTCACTTTCAAAACGCATATGGGGCGGGTGAAGTAGAGTTCAGCTGTTACTGTATACTTGGCATATGAAGTGATAGTGTGGTCATCACTGTGCCATGCCGCCTTTGTTTTACCTAAATTGAGTTCAGTACACAACTCTGATGTAGCCTTCCACTGACTTAAAACCCGGATTCAAAATCGAGACCTTCAGGTTAGCTATCTAGCTCTCTACCGCTTTGGGCACTCTGTCCATTAAAACCAAACACGATTATTGTCAATTATATTCTTATTCATGATGTTGGTCTGTCTTAAAAGATACATGGCAAATAATAATGTTTGTTACGGATGATGCTATTAATAACTGCACTTAAGTCAACACCCCCCCCCCCCCCCCGCACTCCTCTTCACCCCACGTTCCCCTCTAAAAACAACCTCAACGCAAATCTGACATTATGGAAACGATGATTAAAATTTATAGCTGATACTTCTACACTCCAAATACCTTGACGTGTTCAGTTTGATCTTCCTTCCCTGTACCAGTTAAAACTAAAAGCAATATTTTCGAGAACAGGTAACACAAACATGCCGACAAACATCAGACGTAATGGCCAACAAATTCAGCCCTCTGGCAAAGTTTCGCAACAGGAAAGTCGTGTCTAAATTTAAGAAGGATATGTTTATAAGACCCACTGAAAGAAAATGTTAAATGCAAGCATAATCAAAGTCATAACTTCTTAAGGTTTTAATAAGCTTGATAAGGCAGTGGTAGAAGCTAAGATTTTAGTGACAATCCTGTATGGCTTTTAAAAAATACTTATAGTCGTGATTGAAGAATTTCACTTTAGATTTTTACTTTCGAGTGTGGGCCCTACGTGTTAATTCACGGGAATTTTTGAAAGATTTTAATTTAGTTCAATATTTATTCAAAGCGCCTCTTTTCAGTTCGGGCTAATATTATTCCTCAATTTTGACACTCTCCTAAACAGCGATTTCATTTAAACTTAGATATATTTGTCAGTAAACACAACGCACGAATATATTATTTGTAATCTAATGACTTTAGTGAAATTAGCCATTTAAAATTAGTTCGAAATTTAGTTTAAAAACAACCGTTTAATTTGATTTAATGAAAATTGTAGTTATTAAACAAAACAAGTTTCCTTTATTTATTTTTTATTTACTTTTTTAAAAGGTTTATTACAAAGTTTTTGTTTAATATTTATTAATATTCTTACTTATAATTTGTAAAATAAAACACATTTCTTTTATTTATTTAATATTATTATTTAAAAACAAATATTACAAAGTTGTTGTGTATATTAAAATTTTTACTTATAATTTGTAAGCATCGAAAAAGATACTAACAGGAAAGCCATCAAAATATATTATCAAAAACAAACAAACCTAAATTAACTTGTCATATTTCGATTCAACATGCGCTTTATCTGTAGGGGTACTCAATTTTACCCACGGCCACAGAAAAAATCATGTGAACTCTACTCCTCTGCAATATTGACCGTCAGTGTCTAAAGATATTTCTAAAATTACATTGTTAATCAGTATTCAATAAGCAATTAAAAAAACGAAATATAAATACAAGTAAAAGAATACGTTAAGTAATATAACAGTTGCTTGAACAGAATACGTATTATATTTATACACACACACATATATATATATATATATATATATATATATATATATATATATATATATATATATATATATATATATATTATATATATATTATATATATTATACAGTTGATTGAACAGAATACGTATCAATTGAATGAAGCCTGTTGCCTTTAACCCACATTAGTCATAGAACAGCTGTACATGATCCCTCCGATGGCTATGAGAACGCCGCCTACGATACTCAGGATAAAGGAATAGCCAATCTTAAAATTAGAATTTGAAGCGTGCACTTCAGCTCCCCATACTATGATGCCAATCAAGATAAACACAACTGAAAAGAAAATATATATATATAAATATATATGATTTACTTGTCAGGGAAATTTGTTGAAAAAGTTTTACCGCAGCCAGTTTAAACGTTATAAGCAACTAGCCGTCCCGGCCAGGCCCTGCTCTGGCTTCTGTGAAAAACCTTTCTGTTAAAGACCATTACCTGTGTGTTTAGTAATCATCATAAACCCGGCATTGCCCACCCAAACCACAACCAACCAAAACAACAAAACGAAAAAATAACGCTAACACAATTACAAATACAAACGAAAATAAAAACCTAACAACAATCCCAACCACAACCACAAACACCAATACAAACACAAAGAAAAAATAACAAAAAAGCAAACGAAAACAAAAGCCTAACAACAAACCCAACCACAAACACCAATACCAACAAAAAAAAAAAAACAACGAAAAAGCAAACGAAAACAAACCAAATCCAAACGCAAAACCAACCAAAAAACACAAATACGAACCCAAACAAAAAAAACACAAACAAAAACGAAAAAAGAAAGAACAAAAACGAACCCAATCAAAACGCAACCACTAACGCAAACTCACCTAAACACAAAGAAAACACTAACGCGAACATAAACGCCCGGGGCGGAATCACCTGTTTTAGCTTAATGAACGACTATAGTACCCCAACTTATTCATAGTCTTTTGCACTCACTTAAACGAACGCGCCTGTTTCAATTTGATGAACAATTATAATACTCCAAGCTTATCCGTAAAATACCTACAACATTTGCACTTGATCAATCCCCGCTAATTATGTAATTATTTTTTTTTTCCCCAACACCAAAACAAAGTAATTAAAAAGTAAATTCTTTTCGACTAATGCAATGGTTTTATAAAGGGAAGTAATTGTGTTTTCCTAATTTATCAAAGGGAAGTAAGTGCTATAGGACTAAATAAAGACATAATTAGAATTTTTGTAAAAGATGATATTTTTTTAAAACTTGTGTTTAATAAACATGCCGACAATTATTACTATAATTTGAAAAATGAAAATTATTTCCCAACACTTTCAATAGTAATTTTTTAACTCATAAATTTAGACAAATGCGCACGATAATTCTCTAACACTTGAATCCATCCAAGACCAACGACAAACATAATTATGCTTTACATACAGAACTGAGCATTATATATTAGATAACTTCTATTTAAAATAAATCTATATATATAAAGCAAAGTGGTCAAGTTCCCGATAGGGCACTACCCGGCGCCGCAGGCGCGTCAAATTTGGCACGATGGTGCCTTGGGGCGATAGAACACGAGCGCCGGTGACGGTTGGCCGAAAAGTCTACGGAGAGGGGGTCAAAACTGACCTCTACTGACCGGCGCCTTAAATGGGCTATATAACGAAAAAAAATTTCCTCCGACAACCCCCTTTGAAATTTTGTGAGGTGGTAGGAGAACGCCTTGGGGTGTCACAAAAAACTCGCCATGTACGGGAAAATTGGGTAAATGGGTCAAAACTGACCAGTCGTATTTCCCTATATAATCTTTGTATTTCATGGGAAAACAGAGGGTAATTTGAAAACTTATTTTAGGGCACTTACCGTCCTCACATCTTGCTAATTTTTTGCATACACCTCTATAGATGAATACGCCGTATAGAAAAACTGTTGTTCGGACTTAGAGCCCTCTAAGAGGGCTAAAAATGACCGCGAGTGAAATTCTCATTATACGAGATTTGGTCATTTGGTCTATGAACAGGGGAGGTAACTTTTTAATGTAATAATTTTTAAATATTTTGTATACTCTTTTTAAGAAAAAAAAACAAAAATCATAAAGTATAGCATTGTTTTAAATAAATATTTTGTTATAAATTAAGTATTGCATTGTACTAAAATTGTAAAAATTAATTGCGAAAGTAATTTATTATAATATTTGATTGATACTATTAAGAAACCCCTTGCAGTTCTAATAACCATGCGAGTAATAAGTTGCGAATATTCCGTTAATATTTGAGTGACCTGAAATTACTCCACTGTATAAATTTAGGCCCTAAGCATCTAACTCTGGCAACATTGAACATCAGGGGGGCTAGGGACTAACACATTATATAAACAACATAATAAATAAACACAATATTGACATCCTACTTTTACAGGAAACTAACATTTGAACTACAGAAGAAGCAAATAAACTAGATGCATAATTAATATCGACAGTCTCAAGCTAAACATCACTCGATCAGCCCTGAAGTAAATTAACATTAGAACAGTGTTCTGTTTCCCAGGTTTTTAAAAGTGCACAACCTGAATGGTATAAAGAGATACACATCTCACCCCCCCCCCCCCCACACACACACTTCCCCCCACTCAACCGGACTGGCGGATTTTTCAAGGTAGCGTGCCCTCTTTGCCAAGGGTCAATTTTATGTCATGGAAAGTTTTGGAATGATAGATCAGTATGTATACTGCAGAGACACTTCTCCCACGGTCGTTTCTATTTCTGTCCATGTGTGGCTACAATGTGAACTTTTGACTCCTCAGCTAAGGACAAAGCACAGTAAACTAAGCAGTCAAGAGAAACCTAGTTTGCACACCTTATTTTAGTCTAGTTCTTATGCCATTTTATTTTCTCCATTTGATTATTATATATGCAATTGATGTTCATGTCTTGATGCTGGGTAAAATCTATCAAATAAATAATTATTACTGAGTTAAATGTTTAAAACAATTGAATTAATAAAAAAAATTTTAAAAAAAAGGAAAAAAAAAACTAATTGAGGACTGTATAGATATAGATGTTTGAAAGAGAAGAGTTTTTGCTTTTACGTGTCTCATTGTAATAACATAGCTTTTCCGATTGCTTAAAATTTGTATCATTTTAATTCTCTGTAATCCCAAATTCATTTCAGCTCTACTTTAAAAAAAAAAAACAATTCCCCCTCCCCCCCCCTCGTCCCCTCAGCCCACCACGCCGAGAAAAAAAATCCCTTGAATCATCATTTAATTACACATTTGCATTTTCAGTTTCAGGTTGGTTTTTAATTTTAATTTTTTTCTTTATATTTAGACGTTTTGTATTAGATCTATGTATAAGTAAACCATCTTAAATGAAAGAAAGCAGGCTACAAGTAAGAAAGAAATATTACTTTTGTAAATCTGTATCAGTCCTCACAAGCCGATGATGAAAACTGTAATACTAAAGCGAACACACAACTGACGCTATTACGTGTCTGAGGCAAAAAAAACAAAAAAAAAAAAAAAAAAAAATTTATAACTCTAAACAAAATCCTTAAACAAAGAGACAGGACGGACCAACAGCAAAAATCAAGGACGGTAGCTATATATAAACAGACTATTTGGAACAGTGGAATAAAAGCAAAACACGACAAGGTACAGTTCACGGGGCAAGTACTAGACTTGATTTATCGTAGACGACTCGACAATGAAAGCACTCAAACACATAAACCATAATTAGCAACACCACAACGTAAAGAACATATTACACTGCATTGGCCACCTGGCCCGCCTAGTCTAACCGACATATCCCCTTTCACCACACCCTCCCCGCTCCTCGCCCCTAAACCTCATGACCCCGATATCATTTTGCCCCATAACTGCATCCCCTTCGTCCCCACGACCCCACCCCTGAGTTGAAATATTATGTTAAATACTGAAGATGACGTATTATCCAAATACATTTCTAACAACATTAATTTGACTCCCACCCCTACAACCCCCATATCCCCACCCTGTTTCGCATCATTTATAATTTGTCATTCAGTTTCCTATTGTTGCTTAATTGTGTATTGTTTTATTTATACAGCTTACAAATCATCATTTGTCTCTATTTTACTATTTTCATATACGAACTGTACTTTGGTACACAACGTACAAAATGACACCAATGACCCCTACTCCTTTTGTATTCATTTTATAACCCCCCACATTATTACTTACAGTTGTTATGAGTTTTAACCAATTTTTGACCTTTAAATCTCCACTGCATCCCTCACACCCTGCAATGGCTACACGCCTACCAACCCCTAACCTGTCCGTACTAAACATTCAAATAAACATAAACACCGACTTGAACATACCAACCTTTCACCCTCCCGCTAAATCGCTCACACAGTAATCTCTTCGTCAAACCCTCCCCCCCCCACACACACTATAAATAGTCAAACCTCAGCAGTTAGATAACACAGCACATAATTTGACGCTTGGCTTCTCTTAAACACACACAGGTACCCTCTCCACGCCTCGTCAGACACATCTACCCCCCCCCCCTCTCTGGCCACTTCACCCTCAGACATAATAACCCCACATCCACTTTAACTGTTCCAACGATCCCACCACCCACCCCATTATCAAATATCTATTTATTTATTTACTTAAAGTTCTAAATCTTGCTTCTTTCCCCTTATCTTTCACACAGCAACCTTAGAAAATTCAATGCGACCAGTATACAAATTAACACTCTTTCAACTGGTCAACATAATTTGTTTCCCTACATAGACAATGCTTCACTGTCCCATTGACACCCCCTCCCCCTCTTTGAACAATTTCCCTTCCACTCCCCACCCGGAGTCCTGACACTTTCATTTGACCTTCACCCCTCTACTGTTATCCCTTTCGATTTTTTTATAATCACATACATGACCCCATGTAAATAATTATTATGTACATTGGCATTATGTACATTTTGCATTATGTAAAAAAGGTGATGTTGATGCACTTGTTTTAATTGCAAATAAAGGAATATATAAAAAAAAAACATTTTACAAACAAACTAAAAAAAAAAAAAAAATATATCCCTATTCTTTTTTTAAAGAAAATACTTATTGAGAATAGAAAACTTGCTTCAAATTTCCAATAATAATGTACATTTCTATCTGTTTTTTTTTTTGGTGATGTGTATTGTTTTACTTCACTATTAAACATAGAACCCAAAAAAAAAAAAAAAAAAAAAAAAAAAATAAGCATTTAACATAGCAGCCAATCACCTATTAATTAATCATTCAATTCCTCAATTTTTGAAAACCTAAGCGAAGCTAGGCAGTATGCAGTATGCATAGTTACACCATAAACCGGTTGCATTCGCAATTAAGTCGTGGCAAGTCATAACTGGCTCGCCGCGTCTTGAAAGATTACTTTAAAAATAAATATCATGAAAATAAAAAAAGAATCCCAATAAAGTTTTCAAAATACATATAATATTTTTAAAATATTAATTACTTCTTAAACAAGTACCAAAAGATTATTAATAAAATGCATTTCTATTCTGGCTACACATTATTTAAAGAAGAGAGATGACTGAATATAATGTTAATCGTACCATCCTTGGATACATTACATATTATGAACTCTACTTCATCTGCAATTGAGTGTTATAGTGGGACTTTTCTTTCTTGTATTCTACAACATTAAGTTAAAAACAACACAAAATTTGTTTTGTTGCTGTAACAAACACAAACAAAAACAGCCTTACATGAAATGATCGACAGTGCTGCTGCTATGTGATGAGCACTTGATACCGCAAGTATTCCTGTGATTTTGCAAACTAATAAAATCCCCACAGCTGTTATAGCAAAAAGGCTAAAAAACATGCCAATGATGGCCATGGCTTCGCAAGCTTCAAGGGCGGCTGAAAAGTTTTAAAATTATTTTTTTAATCAAATCCGGAACCTTAATTAAGTTGTGAAATTAATAATTTAAACAAATGTAAACTTGTACAGAATAAATGTATTTCATTTATTTAACAAATTTTAATAAAATGATGAACATTTTGTTTATAAACAGTTTTATATTTTAAAATACCTTCAAAAAGAATAAACATTGTTATTTGTACGGTTGATCTGAATTTTTCAATCAATAATCAGTATTTACGTCTATCAATTTAAAAAAAAATATATTCATTAACGGGGTTAGAACAAGACCATAGCTAACTCAACCGACGGTTAAATTGATACAAAAAATATGAAACAGTCAAAGAAAAAGTTAAATATTTTGCTTAGTAACTAAAAAAATCCTTGCGTTGAGATACCGATTAAAAATTACAAGTATTGACAGCAAAATATATTTGACGGGTGGTTTAACAGGATGGGTAGTGCTGAACTTTAAGGAACTAGGACTAGTCGCCATAGTGTGTCGATTTAAAAAAAAAAACGTTTTTATTGAAATTTATAAATACACACACTCAAATATATATTATATATTATATATGTATATATATATATATATATATATATATATATATATATATATATATATATATATATATATGTGTGTGTGTGTGTGTGAGTGAAATTAAAGCATCAAGAACGAGCAATACTCCTTACTTATAATTGGTCGTAATGCATCTAGTGGTGAAAGCAGGCGCATGACCAAATTGTTGATGTTTATAACTCACCAGTTGTCTGAGGGTACTCCACACAATAACCATCTGCACATCCCTTCCATAAGCCGGCGCTGTATGATATACCTACAACATTAGACGTTGACCATTCTGGGGTCGCCAAGCCTACAATGTGAAGGACAACCCCATCGAACAGAAGGCAAACACTGAGCAGGCTCCATGAACTGATTCCACCTGGAAGTGACATTTCCTCTTGTGGAAGAAAAAAAAAATAAACTCTTCAAAACAAGAACCACACACTGATTTTTTTTTTTAAATTTAAAAATGGATAGGCCTACTGTTTTAATAAGAACAACTTTACATCAGCTATTCAACTAAAATATATATGCAATCAATATTTACATCACTAACTAGGCTACTTGTAAGTGAAAGTCTCGATCAATAAGTAGCTTTCTTTACAATCGCTCTCGGTCTGCACAATTTAATATCCTGTTCTATACCACCTATAAACATAACTATTAATAGATACCATCGCTTTTTTCCGTTTTATAGAAACACTGGAAGTCACCGATTGGTTTTCCTTTTGTTGTTTGCAGCCAATGAAAACATTGCATCACTTGAGTGGTTAGGTTGAGATGTTTTAATGGTTTTTTGTTTTCACAAAAAGTGCCTCGGGTCTGATAGTATCTATCCTTATTGCTTAAATGTGTTGCTCAGTTTTACCTGTGCTATTACATTAGATTCTAACTGGGGCAGGCAATGAAATGGTTCTCACTTGGTTGTACATCAAGCGCTAATACGCATAATAAAATATAATATTATATATATGTATATATATATATATATATATATATATATATATATATATATATATATATATATATATATATATATATATATATATACTATAATATAATATATAATATAATATAATAAAATAATAATATATGTGGTATATTAATAAAACTAACAAAATGTGATCCCTTATATATTGGTGTTTTCATGGTCGAATGGTAGAGCGCTTGGCTGCTAGTCCAAAGATCTCGGTTCAGTGTACTGACTTTTCGAAGTTCTTAGTCCAACCAACTCTGATGGGTACCTGAATTACGTTAGGGAAACACAGACGGTTAGGCATAGTGCTGGACACGTTATAATCTTGTTTTCTGAGGTCACTGAAACAGATAAACACTACTCCGACTCACCCTTTTGACTTTAGCACGAACGAGAAAAGATGATGAATTTGCAAAAAATGTATAATGTTTTAAGTTTATCAGTAAATGTATTTATATCATTTCTATATAATTTCTTTTTTTTTTGTTCAAGCGCTGTCTTTGATGTATTTGATAAAATATAATATTGGTTAAACTAAAGCTGTAGCGAATTGTTCAATTCAAAAGTTGATTAATACACTGTGGTAACGTAACATAAGCAGCTTATTGTATGGCCTTTCTGTCAAAATTATCGTGCTTCGATTACCAGTCTAATGACACTAGCGAAATAAATTCTAGTCAAATATGACTGTCGCTGTTTTTAAAGTGTTTATGTTAAAATATACTTTGTTGTATCCAGCCGCTGCAATAAGTCGGGAGTCATTTAGTATGGTATATGGGAGTGTCACCTTCCTCTCCAGCTATTTTGAATTTTCAGTTTGGTGTTACCCCCTCTTCCTCTACTGTTACCTTAACTGGAAAGCAAAATTGTTTGTCGTCGTGGTTTCACCTCGAAAAATAATTTAAACCTGTACGTAACGAACCACCCTCCCTACTTCCTGCGCCACCAACATTTTAACGTCACTGACTGTACCCTTCTCCAACAAGGTGTTTAAAACAGTGGTTGTTTATCTAAAGTTCAATTGACTTAACGTCACTGACTGTACCCTTCTCAAACAAGGTGTTTAAAACAGTGGTTGTTTATCTAAAGTTCAATTGACTTAACGTCACTGACTGTACCCTTCTCAAACAAGGTGTTTAAAACAGTGGTTGTTTATCTAAAGTTCAATTGACTTAACGTCACTGACTGTACCCTTCTCAAACAAGGTGTTTAAAACAGTGGTTGTTTATCTAAAGTTCAATTGACTTAACGTCACTGACTGTACCCTTAGCAAACGAAGCGTTAAAACATGTGGTTGTTTATCTAAAGTCCAGTTGACAAGACAGGTTTTAATGCATACTTCAGTGTTAGTCAAGCGAGACGATTGACATAATATATTACAAAACATACCCACTACCTGTGTCTGGGGAACAAAAGTTCAAGGTAAGATTTTAACCATCGTTTCCTCCCCCCCCCCCCAGGCTTTGCTTTTAGCGTTACACGTACATGGTTTCAAAAAACAATCCTTTTCGCTTTAAGCAGTGTGCTTTAGGTTTCTGTTAAGGAGTGTTGCCATTGTTTCACGTGTTAGTTTGTTAGCTTGTATTTGGTTTAATATGTCTCTCCTTCTGTCGGTCTGTTTGTGGTAAAAGCGTGTATATAACATATACACATAGTTACAACTTTGCAGAACCATGTGTCTCATATGACAACATAACAAAATCTCATGATTTTGGATCAAAATGTTATATTTAGTCGAAAAAATATGACGATTGCATCGTCACAGACTTTTGAAGATAAATAAAAATCTAAAGAGAAATGTGAATTTTGTCTATCGCAAAAGCATTTACACATTAACTAATATAGCAAACAATGCATCTGTTTTCTGTCTAAAGTCTACATTAATTAAATACGGGCAATAAAATCAAGGTTATTTTGAAACATAGCTTCCTTTTCTTTGATAATTGGATGGCTATCAGTATTAAAAAATCCTAGATTCACATACTTTCTCGTCTAAAATCAAAGATTTAGTTAATTTTAAGATTTCTATTGTTTTATCCTTTTGGGAAAATGTTTCTATTGATTTTCCGAGCCGATTTTAACACATTGTATTATGAAGACAATGACACCAATTGTATAACTATGGACAGGGGCGGAACTACAGTGCCGCCAGACCCCGCAATGCGGGGGTGCCCAGACCATTTAGGGTCCCAAAGCCGACCAGAATCAACTTTTTTATAGTTAAAAAAATTATTTTTTTGCAAAAAAAAAACAACAGATCTACTACAGTAGTGATGTTTTACAGTAGCTAACACACGCTGTTTCATAAAGAAAAAACATATATAGCTACATGAGTTGTAGTGTGAAAGATAGGCAAACGTTCAAACCATTTCCATGACTTATTCCCCTATTTTAAATAGTCAAATATGTGTGCTCTTAATAAATTAATTAAGAAACTTTTTTAACAAATTAAAAAGCAATTACTTCTCTTAATTATTATTTTTAAAAAAAATACACATTAAAGAATAACACAGTATAAAAGGAAATGTATTAAAAACTAATAATATAAATAAAAAATACTTAAAAATAAACATAAGGCTAGAAACCATTACACATACAAAGCTTTCATGCTTCATATTCTTTTGACCGCCTTGAAATTGGTTTGTTATATGTCAGACATTGAAACAAAGAATTTCAAACCAGACTAATAGCACTGACACAAATGATGTGTTGTTGTAGTATGCTTTAATAAAACTAAAAACTAAGAATTTTAATTATTTTCAAATTTCAACAAGCCCGTATTAAGTAGGCCTATTCTATTTGCGTATTTAGTATATATATATATATATATATATATATATATATATATATATATATATATATATATATATATATGGGGCCCAACACATTTTTTTGCGGGGTGGCCCTTTATTTCTAGTTCCGCCACTGACTATGGACTATGTATCCGGCAGTTATGCAGTGAGAGGGTATAACTACCATGATATTTCATCTCTAACCATTCAACAGTTCATCCAAGAGTTCCGACTTAAACCACGACGATATCACCACAGAAAAATGACTGGACCGGATGACATTAGTTCACTACACTTTTTATTGCACTATAAAAATACACACGACGACTTGAAAAAACGATACTAAGACCTGAAAACATACACGACTTCTCACAACAAGATGCAAGGCTATCTAACCTCCTTCCCATGCAACAACGAACCAACACTGAAACGTCACATTCTTGTAACATGGATCTTTTATTTATTAAAAAAATCATCTCACAGCACACATAATCTTCTAACTTAACATACACTTCATAACGATCATAAAGGGTTCGGCGTGGTCGGGTCGGTAAAACACATGGTTGCTAAACCGAAAAGTCTCGAGTTTCGAACCCTCGGGTAGATGATGTTCGTTAACTGGGGACAGCCACACTTCTAGGAGAGACAACTCAAAAATCAAACAACTGCTGCCTTGTAGTTTGTTCTTCTTTTGACAAATGCTATGGAAGCAAATCCAAAAAGAAAAGCAGGCTGAAATCGGAGTCAATGGCCTCAATGGCGCATAACCAGTTGACACGTATACTTAATTGTGTTGGAGGGGATCCCTTACAACACTAAAATTAAGAACGGAGAAGAAGAAGAAATAACAACAATTTTATTTATATAGCGATGCATTGTACGGAGACAACATATTCATAAATACAAATAGTAACACATATTTTAATGTTTTTAATCAAAGACATATTATTACCCTCATTTTTAATTTCCAAAACGTAGTAACTGATACGTCAAGTAACGACATTTTTATTTTATATTTGATACAATAATTTATGTTTAATGTTTCATTTAGAAAAGCAGATGAATGCAATAGAAAAACATTTAACACATTTAACAGCTGTCTTAGAGTCTCATTAAGAGATACTTTTAGGTAAGAAATTGAGTGTGAGTTAATTCTATATAATATTTTCGCTGTCTGTCTATGTATCTGTTTATCTATCTATTTATTTATCTATCTATGTATCTGGCAAGAACGCTCTAGATAAAACACAAGCAATTTAAAAACATGCATAGTAATACGGAAACGAAATATGACGTCATATTGAGCATGTAGTAGAAAATAATTTCAAGCCGGAGAGTGCACACAGTAATATGACGCCATTGAATCTCGAGTAAACATTGAATTTAAAAAGCCATTTTTGTCTAATCCAAGTGGTTTGCTTGAAGAGTTTCTTTCATACAATTCTTCGGGTAGGGGCGAAGCCCCACCCCCGCTTAAGAACGTCTAAGCCCCCTGCCCCCTCCCCAACTCAAAAGAAATTTCTTCATCGAAACTCTATAATAAAATTACCGCCTAATTAATGTGTCTAATCTAAAAAGTGGTTTGCGTGCAGAGTTTCATGCAATTCTTCGGGTAGTGGCTAAGCGCGA